CTGATTAGCAATAACTTTTGTTAGATTTATTTGAGGCACAAAATTACCTACATCTTTTTTTAAATCCCCCATGGCTCAACTAAGTGTAAACACTAGATTTTACAGCACTTTTTGAATTTTGAAATGCTTACTTGCAAGGCTGCTATATAGGAAGCAATGGGAAAACATGCGGAAACTGAGCCTTCTAAATTGCAACAGAAACTACCTAGAGAATACAGATGATATGAGATAGCCTGATCAAGTGACAGACTCTCAGGAAAAATTCTTACTGGTCTGAACATGCCCATTAGGGCGTCACTGGTGTTTTAAATTGAACCAGGTTTTATATAAAGGGATTTCATTTGATTGGCACCTCTGGTGTGGACTAAAAGAGCTATCACATGAATAATCTGATAATTGGATTAAGTAAATTAATCATGCTCTTGAGTTCTATACAAAATGAACAGTACAGCACTGTCTAAGAGTCTACCATTAGACATTTCCACCAATCTACTCTTCAGCATTTCAAGGCCTGTAGTCCAGTCAAGTGCATATGGTCCACTTCCAGCTATAATTTTCTTCCCCACCCCAGTCAACCTAAGACAGTGGTTCTCAACCTTTTTAATGCCATGACCTCCATCCGGTCGTAAGTCGAGGACTAAACCAGTCGTAAGTCGAGGACTAAACCGGTCATAAGTTGAGGACTACCCAACCAGTCATAAATCAAGGACTTTCCCTGCCCGGGAGCGCCGCGCATGCGTGGTGCCGCCCCCTGCGCCGGCCGAGGCGTAGCTGGCAAGCGGCAGAGACGAAGCAGGCCGACCACCGGCTGGGCCACCAACTGGCCCAGCCCAGAAAAGGGGAAAAAAATGGCAGACAGCTTTGCTTGGCAACCCCTGTGAAATGGTCGATTGACCCCAAATGGGGTCGCGACCCACAGGTTGAGAACCGCTGACCTAAGAGAACACATTAAAAAAAAATTAGGCACAGGCAATAACTGGTATAGTAGCATTGGTAGCACAACAATTTAGGTTACCAGCTCCTCTAGAGTCAAGGTGCAAATTGAAACCGTTTATATTAGCACAGTAGCACTAAATTAAATGTACAGAGTGGAAAAATTATTTGATCCCCTGCTGATTTTATGTGTGCCCACTGACGAAGAAATGATCAGTCTATAATTTTAATGGTAGGTTTATTTTATTTTAACAAGAGACAGAATAACAACAAAAAAAATCCAGAAAACACATTTCAAAAAAGTTATACATTGTTTTGCATTTTAATGAGTGAAATAAGTATTTGACCCCTTCGCAAAACATGTCTTAGTACTTGATGGCAAAATCTTTGTTGACAATCAGAGGTCAGACGTTTCTTGTAGCTGGCCACCAGATTTGCACACATCTCAGAAGGGATTTTGTTTCACTCCTCTTTGCAGATCCTCTCCAAGGCATTAAGGCAGGCATGTCAAACTCGTGATGTCACATGACATCCCACGATGTATCGGAACTTTTTCCCCATTGCCAGCAATGGGGTTGGTGCGGTTTCGGCATGATGCACCCGGCCTGCGGGCCGCAGGTTGACATGCCTGCATTAAGGTTTTGAAGCTGATGTTTGGCAGCTCGAACCGTCAGCTCCCTCCATAGATTTTCTATGGGATTAAGGTCTGGAGACTGGCTAGGCCATTCCAGGACCTTAATGTGTTTCTTCTTGAGCCACTCCTTTGTTGCCTTGGCTATATGTTTTGGGTCAGTGCCATACTGGAATAACCATGCACAACCCATTTTCAATGCCCTGGCTGAGGGAAGGAGGTTCTCACCCAAAATGTGATGGTACATGGCTCCGTCCATTGTCCCTTTGGTGTGGTGAAGTTGTCCTGTCCCCTTGGCAAAAAACACATCTCCAAAGCATAATGTGTCCTCCTCCATGTTTGACAGCGGGGATGGTGTTCTTAAGGTCATAGCCAGCATTCCTCGTCCTCCAAACACAGCGAGTTGAGTTGATGCCAAAAAGCTTGATTTTGGTCTTATCTGACCACAAGACTTTCACCCAGTTCTCTGAATCATTCAGATGTTCATTGGTAAACTTCAGACAGGCCTGTACATGTGCTTTCTTGATCAGGAGGACCTTGCGGGCGCTGCAGGATTTCAGTCCTTCACGCTGTAGTGTGTTACCAATTGTTTTCTTGGTGACTATGGTTCCAGCTGCCTTGAGATCATTGACAAGATCCTCCCGTTTAGTTCTGGGCTGATTCCTCACCATTCTCATGATCATTGAAACTCCACAAGGTGAGATCTTTCATGGAACCCCAGACCAAGGGAGATTGACAATTATTTTGTATTTCTTCCATTTGTGAATAATTGCACCAATTGTTGCCACTTTCTCACCAAGCTACTTGGCGATAGTCTTGTAGCCCATTCCAACCTTGTGTAAATGTACAATCTTGTCCTTGACATCCTTGGACAGCTCTTTGGTCTTGGCCATGGTGGAAAGTTTGATTGATTGATTGCTTCTGTGAACAGGTGTCTTTCTTACAAATGACAAGATGAGATTAGGAGCATTCCCTTTAAGAGAGTGCTCCTAATCTCAGCTCATTACCTGTATAAAAGACATCTGGGAGCCAGAAATCTGGCTGATTGATAGGAGATCAAATACTTCACTCATTAAAATGCAAATTATTTTATAACTTTTTGAAATGCTTTTTCTGGATTTTTTTGTTGTTATTCTATCTCTGTGTGTTAAAATAAACCTACCATTAAAATTATAGACTGATGATTTCTTTGTCAGTGGGCAAACATACAAAATCAGCAGGGGATCAAATATTTTTTCCCTCACTACAGATTACCAACTGGCTTACCCCATTTTTATAGAAAGGTGTGTGTTTCATAAGACTATTGTTCAGTCATTCAAACCTGACCTGATTTCTAAAAAGGAAGTTAGCATTTTTTGTCTATAAAGCAGTGTTTCTTAACCTTGACAATTTTAAGGCATGTGGACTTCAACTCCCAGAATTCCATAGCCAGCTATAAAGGATTCCAGTATTCTGAAAAAAAAGTAACTATTACAGCATTCACATTAAATTTTCAATCATTAAAAACAATACACCTATTAAACAAGAATTTATATTCTATTCCCCTTATCAACATTTTACATCCCGTGTATTCATATATTTACACAACTGTTTTAAATTTGTTATTTGGCTTTTTAGACTGTAAGCAGGTAGCATTAACATATGTTATGCTTAAAAACTCCTTATACCCATAAAACTAAAAGAGCAAAGTACAAACAATTGGGCCAGAAGCACAGTACCATATATGTTGATTTTCTGATTATAGGAAGATGCACTTACATGCAGTGATATATTCACAAGTGGTATCACAGCCTGTAAAACTACTAAATCGTTTTACTCTGCTTTATGTGTAGATGCAATTTCAGAGAACCACAATCCCACAAGTATGCTTCAAAATACAAACCAAAGGGATTATATGATGAATGTTCCTTCCACAACTCCATTCCAGTAGAAAATCCACTTTAAATAAAAACTACACTCTCATCTAACATGACTTTTGATGTTATAGCACAAATATAACATATCCACCTACATTTAGAAAAATAATAGTTTAATTCTTCCCCTCTGAATTTAATGAGATCAACTTAGTGGTATTACATTGAAATATTGATTCAATTTAGCCCATTTATTCTGATTTTATTAGAGATGCAGACTAGGGGGAATGTGATGCAGATATTATATTCCTAAAGACTAGGAAAAACACATAGATTGAAAGTAATAAAAGCTATAAAATAATTAGTTTTAAATAATACCTGTGCATCAAATCAACTGGCCAAGAAAAAGAATATCACATGTCATGTACCATTATTTTCCTCAATTATCCCCCCTCCCCTTTACACGATGGACTCAATTTCTGGAATTCCAAAATTAGATGGCATTTAGGAAATTTAGTAGTAATAAAAGAATGCAGCAACTTTGAAGTGCTTGCTTCTGTAAAATAAACTTTGTGATATTCTTTTCTAATTTGTACATTAAAAATCATTCAATGAAACGCTAGGACCAAGGAAATGTGCTTTCTTTGTTGTGTTTGTCTTCTAGAATAGTATTCCCCCTCCTCCTCCCCAAGGCCTTTAAAAAGTCACTGAAACCTGGCTGCTCCCTCAGGCTTTGAGCTCTAGTAGCATTGAGTCAGCTGGAAATTTAGCTGGAATTGTACTCAGTGTAATGCTGTTGTCAATCCTGTTGTCAATTTTTATAGCAGTCTCCTGCAGTCTAGCAACATCCAGACATCAGTTCCCGGAGGTCCCAGCCCATATGGCCATGACACTAAGAATTCTGCTAGTTGATGTCTTAGCTATCTTGAAGAAATTATTTAGGACAGACATGTCAAACTCCTGACATCATGTGACGTCGCGCAACATATCAGAGCTTTTTCGCCATTGCTGGCAGTGCGTGTGATTTCCCGATGATGCATCTGGCCCGTGGGCCAGTAGTTTGACACCCCTGATTTAGGAGAAGGCTATGTTGAGCTACAAAGTAATTCAGACATCATTGTTAAATAAACTGTTAAACAAAGAAACGGCACTCCTAACTTGAAAACTTTACTACATTAGCAAATAAGAAAAACTTAAAATACTAGATATTTTGTAATGAATTATTACTCAATATTGCTAAAAATCTGAATATGTTAATTTATTGAATATAAATCAATATTCTTTGTCTGTTCATACTTACTATACATGGATAAATTACACCTATAAATCAACAGAAATGCCACAAGAATACACATCACTGAACAAACTTGTAATGGCTGAAGTATAACAATGTTTCCTGAAGAACTCTTAACTGATTCCATTAATATACTTCCCTCTTTCTTTCATTTGAAAATTTATAAGGCAGCTCCTTTCAATCTAGTGATCTGGACAACTAACAATACAAATGCATAAAACAATATAAACTTGAAAATAAGTTAATATACTTTCTTTAGCTTCACTACAGGGATCTGGATCATACTTGCCTTTCCCAATATGTCCATTATTTATACTGCTTGATTGTTTTTCAGCATGGTCCTCTGGAAATTATGTTATACTGTACAATAGAATAGACAACATATGTGTTTTCACAGATAGCCGCTCACTTAAGTTATCTAAAATTTGCCCAAATAATATATAATTGCCCATTCCTTTTCCCAGATTTTGTCCAATACAGGACAAGTAAAATGAACATTTTAAAAATATAAAATAAAATTTTGAAATTAACAAATTACAGAGGCTTTTATGCAGACTAGTTTATAGTATAACCACAGTAAAACCATATAAGAGAAATGTCAGAACACCTTCAATATCTGATTTGAGTTCTCCATCAATATTCCAAATGGCAGCCTATTCTGAAGACTAAACCAATTCTCAGAGATAGAGGGAACAGAAATTATCCCAGTGTAAAATAATCTGTATCAATAATAAGAACATAATCAAGAATAACATAAAGGTGTTAAACAGTTACTTAATTCATGTACCATGCATGCTAAATCATTCCTTCCTTCCTTCCTTCCTTCCTTCCTTCCTTCCTTCCTTCCTTCCTTCCTTCCTTCCTTCCTTCTTACCTACCTACCTACCTACCTACCTACCTATCCAGAGAGGGAGAAAATGATTTTTCATCAGAATGTTTCCAAGTGGAGACCAGATAGTCATTTTTAAGAATGCTTTAATTTCGATTCCTGCACAGGGCAAGGAGTTGGACAATTCTCTAGATCATTATTTCAGCTCTATTATTCTATAAATATATTATTACACCAGATTTGGTACCATGATCAAATTAGACAGAAATCAAAGATTATTTTGCAACAGGATGTTAGAAGCATAGAAGCTGCAATCAAAATCCAACTAAAATATTTAATGAGGACATTTCTTCTACAATAACTTAGATATAACAAAGTTCACCCCTGACAAGTATCTGTACAATATAACTCTAGGAAAAACAGCTCAAAGAAATTCTCTAGTCTTTACTATTGAACTTTATTTCAGAATAGTAGCTGACTAGTACTGGTATGGAAATAGCATACAATTAAGTACTCAAAACTGCAAAGTAATTTGAAAAATATAGGTATAATATAACTAAAATGCAATATGACTGTGTTAGAGAAATAAATTATACTAATCTGAAATATGGTACAGCCCAAGAGTAAAAGCCTCTATCCAAAGCTTCTCTGTAGTGTATTTCTGAAAACTGGCTTTAGCCCAAATCAAAACCCATTATTTTAGCCCTGTAGACTAATTTAGATCCTCAAGAAGCAAGTATTCCAAAGTAGATGCAAGCAGAAGAAAACACTCTATGAAAGTCATAAGCTATCATTCTGTTCACTTAGGAAGTATTTTTTTCAGGAGCTGTTTTAATGCATCTCCAGTCCCCTTAATTACAGGTACTTCTACATGACAAGTTGTTTCATACCCTTAACACTTAGGTGTGCTGGGAATTTAAAGAACACCATTTAATGAACAAATACCACAGCCAGCAAGCACTGATAACTTTCAATTTAGCTCCACCTCCACAAGTTTGAATGCCCAATTTCTTAAGGCACCTAATGTTCTGGACTGATTACACACACCTTTGAAAAGGGGCCACACCTACAATATGTCTATTGTGTAACAAATGAGGAAGATGAGCATAAGACCTGGGAAATACCTTGATTGTAAAGAAAGCAAAAATGATTAGATCAGAAATTGATGGTAACTGAATTATGGTTAGTACTGAAGATTCCAAGGATACCTAATATATAGAGAAAAATATATTTGGTGTTCAAAAATAACCAAATATAGATGAAGCTCCACTTTATCTTTTACACACACACACCCATCCATTTAATGTCTGCATGATAACTCCTCCCACCTTTAAAATAAGGGAAGAAAAACCACAGCTGTATCACAAATATTGCAGTTCTTTTTGCCTCAATTTCAACAGAAAAGCAAACCATCCCTAGGTAAACTTTCCAGAAATCTTCTGCGAAGGATATACTTCACTTGAAACAATTTGCCAACCTCACACAACCACCCCACCTGGTGATGATTTAGCACACACTGATTGCTTCTTCATTCACTTCTATTATCAGCAGCCCATTACCTGTAACTTGACACTCCCTCTGCCCGTCTCTCTCATAAGCACCCAGGCAGGGTTAAGCCTGTTTTGCCCGTCAAGCTTTCCAGATGAGGTGCATTTCTCAACCCAGGGCTCGGAAAATTTCAAATCCCCTAATGAACAACTTCACCATTGGGAGACCTGAAATAACAGATCAAGGACGTATCGTCATGGAGAAAATCTATCTGTAGGGTCGTAAGGCGTCGAAAATAACTTGACGGTATACAATCAATCAATGACGCACGCATAAGAACTGCAATCATTTTGCGCACCTTTACCCTATCTGCCAAATCGCTGTTCTTTTGATTAACGCTTTTACTAGTTCACAAGCTAGTAAACCAAAGGTTTACAGGAATCTTTTCACCCCACACCAAGAAAAATGTCTAATTTCAGTCCCCAGGAAACCTTTGCCCATCTCACCGGACTCAAGGAGACTTCACATTAATATCTGGTGCTTCTATGACAAATGTCTACCTGCATCCTTTAAGCAGTACCTCTTGATTACACACGTCCCGCTTAACTGCGCTGCTCCCTCTCCTGCGTCTTTTTCGCCCTTCTCACGCCACCCTTTTCTAACGCCACCACGCCTCGCCCCCTCCGCAGCCCATGACCCCTGACTTTCAGGTCAAATGTCAAACTTCCATCAAACATCATCGTTCTCCTTTCTCCCCAGATAATGTCCCCCTGAAAGGCCTCATCTCTCCTGGTCTCCCAGAAGCCCACTTCACATTTCAGCGACTCCTCGCTTACCCACGACGCGCACTCCCCCTTCTCGGATCCGGAGCCTCCAATCCGGAAACAGACGAATGTCCGCCCGGCGGCCATACAAAATGGCGATGCGGCACACGCCTCCGGTCAATGCGCATGCGCATGATATCCCCACTCTCTTCCGGTTTGGGTTGTGGAAAACGGAAAAACGTCGGGCTAAGCGGTAACCATGATAAGGAGGTCATGGCTGAATGGGAGGGGCTGCGGAAAGAGCTTCGCTAAATCACATTGACGCGTCCAGTGTTATTTATTCTGTGGGTTTTCAATCAATCAGAAAAGGGCTTGGAGGTTTTATAGTCCAGCCTCCTGCTCAGACAGGAGTCCCTATATCGGGTTTTTTGTCACTGTTTTTATCTCCGTATCACCAGAGGAAAAAGAAACAACAGGCGTAAAAAGTGTTCTCTAAATTTTGCAGGGTGCTTAATTTATACACTTATCCCTCTAAAATTAAGTAGATGGGTTCATAAAATTCATGCAAAATCACATAAATAAACCAGCGTTTCTCGTGCTGGCTGGGGAATTCTGGGAAGTGAAGTTCACACATCTCAAAGTTGTCAACTTTGCACAGTCGTTCTTTTCGTTAAGTTCAGGTAGGTGAGTTGGAGTTACCACAAATGATACAATCTGTGTTAAAATTGTAGAGAGGATTTAGGATTGTTGGACTGGGACTTATGGCAACTTTGCAATTTATTTTTCTAGTCAAATAAATAAGGCAGGTCTTCCTTTTTCAACAAGCCAATAGTTAAATTCAAAGTGATACTATCAGCTATAGAGCTATTATACTAGCTAGTGTTTCAGGCAACAGCTTAAATATTGTTAAAGCTTTTGTTTGATCTGTCTGGCTATTATGGCATGTGAATGGTTTTATTTAAGATACCTCTTATTTTCCTGCAAACAGCTCTGAACTCCTCTGAAAAGGTGTGGTACAGAAATAATAAAATTGAACCACAGTGAATATTCCACCATCCATTTGATATATTCATTTTATTTATTTAGTGTATGGACTAGCAATATATATTAACATTTCATCTATTAAAACGCAATAAAATATAAATGTTAAAAAGTATGGAACACTTTTTAAACTGCAGCAAAGACAATTCTATCCATATTACTTTTATCACCTGCTGCTATGGAGCTAGCACTCAAGCCATTGAAATATCTTCTGCTCCTCCTGCTTCCTTTCACTTTTTTCTAATTCTAATTATTTTCTAATTATAAATAGTATCCCAAAACCAGGGGTGTCAAACTGCCGGCCCATGGGCCAGATGCATCATAGCAAAACCACACCCATCCCATTGCCGACAATGTCAAAAAAGTCACAATATGTCGTGACAGGTCATGTGACATTGCGAGTTTGACAACCCTGCCCTAAACAGAAACCTAGAATATATCAATTAGTTAATTCTTACACATCTTAAGGCAAAAAAATTTAATAATCTAGCTGAAGGTTCATAAAATAGAATGCAGACTTTTGAATCATTGGGCAAGATAGTTAAAAATCCAGAAAAAAAGACAAAATAGGTGTTTGGATTGTGTTTTCATTGTTCAACAAGACTAAATGCATTTTTGCATTTTACTGAACTACAGGTACTAAAATTGCTTGGGTTTTATATTCTATAGATCTCATTTGTGCAATAGTGTGTTACTGTGGCTCACAATTTATAGGATTATTTCTTTTTATTTACACAAGAGAGGAGATTTAATTGCATGTTATAGTCTCCTCAAACAATTGCACAAAAGCTACTTTATCAATCATAAAATGGCCAATTGGGTCTTAAACCTGCTTCTTAAGAATTCCTGAAAGTTAGTTTTGAAATTCTTCAGCAAGTGAGAGATCAAACACATTCCTAACCTACCTAGCTGACAACTTTGTCATCCAAAAGGTAGAGGAGGGAACTTGAAAAGCTATATTAGACCTAATTCTTACTAATAAAGAAGTGATAGAGGGAATTGAAATTGCCAGAACTTTGGGCAAGAATGACCATATCATATTGGAATTCAATATAATGCAAACACAAGCAATAGAACATAATACAGCCAGTGTCTTAAACTTTAAAAGAGCTGATTTTAACAAACTTAGAGAGAGTCTAAGAAAAATTCCATGGATGAAAATCCTAAGGGGAAAACAACTCAAGAAGCGTGGAAAACTCTGGAAAATATGATCATCAAAACCCAGTTGAGCACAATACCACTGAAAAAGAAAATAAGAAATCCAAGAAGAAACTAACATGGTTGCACAAAGATTTCTCTGATAAACTGAAAGACAAAAAAGATAAGTACAAAAAATGGAAAGAGATACACATAACTCAGGCAAAATACCAGCATATAGCCCGAATCTGCAAAGATGAAGTCAGGAAAGCTCAGAATGAACAAAGACTTGCAACAAAAATCAAAGATAATAATAAAAAAGTTTCTTTCAACATATAATTAACAAGAAAAAAGACAAGGAAACAATAGGTCCACTTAAGAGAGAAGAGGGCAATGAAATAACAGACAGTAAAAAGAAAATCAAGGAAACAGTAGGTCCATTCTTTGAATCTGTCTTCATGCAAAAAAAAAAACTATAGCCCAACCTAACCAAAAACCTAACTGTAAAAGACAGATTAGAAATAAAAGTTAAAATAAGTAAGAAAATGGTTAGAGAACATCTATCTGATCTTGATGAATATAAATCACTGGGACCTGATTGTTTACATCCCAGAGTTCTGAAGGAGCTGGCAGATGTTATCTCAGAACCATTGTACCATATCTTTCAAAAATCCTGGAACACCAGGGAATTACCTGAAATTACCTTTACCTGATTGGAAAAGAACTGATGTGGTTCCCATTTTCAAAAAAGAAAAACAATCAGACCCAGGAAATTACAGATCAATCAGCTTAACATTAATACCTGGGGGGACTTCCGGTGGCGACGGCTGCGGTGATGGCGGCTTTCTTCAGCCGTCCGCCCTGGGCTGTGTCAAAGCCAGCTGAGACAGCGAGCAACAGCTGTCTCGCGGCTTGGAACCTCTCTCCCCGGGCGAAGGGGAGGAGGTGAGCTTTCCTCAGATAGTGGTAGAGCTCCCCGAGACTCCAAAGTTTTCTTTTTTGGTGATCAGAGGGTGAGAGCTCCCACGGAGTCTGGGGTGTTCTCCACATTCCAGGATGCCTTTGCCCTGATTTTCCCAGGGCAAAGCTAGACGCTGCTTCCACATCTGCACTTAAAATGAATTTGTGAGTAAAATTTAAAGCAGACAGAGCTGACCAGGAGAGACTAAAATGGGGATTATTTCGAGACTTTAACTCTGGAAAAGAACTTATCTTCTCCTTCTTTTAATTAAGAGTTGTGAAGAATGGCGCTGAGAGTTGATTCTTTGAGTGAAAGGACCAGAACTTCTATTTGGAACAATGTAACAGATTTTGTATTTGTATAAATTGCAAGAATCTTCTTTTTTTCTTTTAAGGGGGCTTTTGTCTTTTTTCCCCTTTTCATTTTTTCTTTTTTGGGGGAGGGGGTATTTGTTGATTTTATAAAATTTTAGAAGACTTTTTACAAGTGGTCTTAAAAATAAAATGGCTTCAAAGCATCTCTGAGCTTCTGTTGCTTCTAAAGCCTCGATCTTCCCGGTAATGCAGACAGCTCAACAAGCTAAGTCTAAGTTTCCACCACCTTCTCCATTGTCTTCAGCATGTATACTTAAAGATTTACAGGATGCCTTGGAAAAAAAGGAACGACAAATTAAAGAAGAGATGGAGGTTTTTTTTAAAATAAATTCATGAAACTGAGAGAGGACATAGCGTTCGTGTTTCAAAAGTTTGTAGGTCACATAGATCGTCTGGATGAGTGTATTGATGATGTTGTGGAAAATTTTGAAAAACTGGAAGATCGAATTGACAAAGTGGAAAACAACGTGGAAATAATACAGGATGAAATTACTATGTTACAATACAGAAACATGAAATTTGCTTTAAGAATAAGGGGAATGAAGGAAAATATGCAAGAGGATTTGAGACAAGTGGTGGTAAAAGATATAGCTTTCATTTTGGGGGCTGAGTCTGAAGAAATATTGAGAGAGACGGAAAAAGTTTTTAGGGTTAATTCTAGGGTTGCGAGACAGGAATTTGCCACGAGACGTGGTTATCTATTTTTCTAGGAGATCACTTCATAATGAAATTTTACAGGCTTTTTATAAGCAGAGATTTCAAATTGCAGCTCAAGATGTTATAATTTTAAAAGAAATACCTCCAAAAATTCTTAGAAAAAGAAAGGATTTTGCTTTTTTGGCTGATGAGCTCAAAAAACGACAGGTTCGATTCAGATGGGAGATACTGGTTGGAATAGTGCTGAACTATGCGGGGATATATTACAGACTTAATATAATGTCAAAGGCGAAAGATTTTTACATTCCGGTTTTGAAGGTGGACTCTCCATTATCTTTACAACCTGAGATAATAGAAGAGAAGTTGGAAGAGCAGCCGGTTGAAAGTGCTATGCTATTGGATGTAGGAGACATACAGGCTGAACCTTTGCAGCAGTCTCTTGAGACAGAAGATTTTTTAAAGGAACCGAGAATGATTCGTGCAGCCTATAGACATAAATTAAAAGAACAGCAGAAGATGGATGTTGGAATAAAGAAAAGGAAATGATGAACTTTTGTAGTAGTTTTTGAGATAGAAGATGTTTTAAAGAAATAGTGAATGATTTGTATTTAGTATGTTTTAAAGGAACAGTGAATGATTTGTATAGTATGTAGATGTAAAGAAAAAGAATAATAGAAGGTGTTGATTTAGTGGAAAAGTTTAAATATTTGGGAGTTATATTATAAATTCTTAATTTAAAGTGAAAAATAATTATGAGATATTATGGGTAAATGTGTAAAAGGATTTAAATTCTAATGATCTCTGTTGGTGAGAATTTTAGAAGATGAATGGTTTGCTGAAACTTTTTAAATAGGAGGTTATTAATAGACTTTCTTAGGGGTAAAAAGCAAAGAGCCAATTTTATCGAACGTAAGTTTGTTGGTTAGGTTATATTGGAGGGAAAATTTTATGTTTATTATGGATGAATGGTTGTTTAAAAGAAATATACACCTCAGCGAGGTGAAGAT